AGCTGAAGTAAGATTTCTTTGCTGAGCTGGCAGTTCATTTTGGTTACTTTTTAGTTATTGGTGAGATAAAAATGGCTCTGTTGAACAGCAAATGGCAGTTATCAGAGAGGCATTGAAGAGAGTTAATGAAGCACCTTGCCGAGCAGATGGCCTCTTATCTTGATGTTACAGACACCTCCATACAGATTTGTCACCTGCACAGTGTTTTATTAGCTCCCTTTGAAATACTCACTGGAACAGGAAAACATGCTGGATTTGTATCACTCACCCTTCTGGTAATGGAATAATAGATGTTGCAGTCTTGTATGAGGGCCATTGAAGATGAAGGCAATCCATACCTCTGAATGAACCAGTGACCACAAGCTTGCTCCTATCCATTTAGTTTCAACCCAATCTTTCCTCTCTTTTCCCTCTCTCTGGGTCTTATCTAGCTTGTTAGACTCCTGCTTCTATGGATTTGAATTTTAGTGCCTGTTCTTGTGCTGCTTTAATCAGAGCCTCACTGTTGTCTTTTAATCCAGCCCTTTCCATCCAATGATAGGATTTCCCAATGCCTGACACCTCAGCTATCTTTGATAGTACATGCGGGTTTTGATTTGTCACAGCACTTCCTCTTCTTGATCTTTCTTTCATGTCTGTTTGTGTCTCAAGCATTCTTTAGCAGCTCATCTTTGGATGCCATCTTACCAATGTATTCCTGGATGCTCTGGGTTTTGTCTAGGACAGAGGCATTGAAAGTCACCAAACCTTATCCACCCTCTTTCTGGTTGGTGTAGACTCTGGGTGTTGGACTTGCACTGGAAATTTCTGTGCATTGTGAAGACTTTCCAGGTTTTCACATTGGCAGATTCTTTATTCTTCAAATCGTCAGTAACCAACAGGGTATCTGATAACTGGCAGGGCATATCTGTTGATGGTGTGATTTTTTTCTTCTTTCCATTGAGCTGGACTTGTCTTATCCTTTGTCGATACTTGCTACTTGAATGTTTCTGTCTTCCTTATATTTTTCTCATGGTTCCCATGTGGCTGTGGGATAACAAGATAATTTTTAGCTGGTATATATGTCTACTATGTGGCCTGCTGGTAGTCCCTCTCCATCAGTCTTAACTATGTTCCCTCTCTTTACTACCATTTCCAATCTAAATGACATTCCAATGTCCTCACTATAGATCAGGAGTGTCAAACTGCCGGCCCGTAGGCCGGACACGTCATCCGGAAGCCGCGCCCACCCCATTGCCAGCAATGGCAAAACCGTCCTGATACGTTGTGCGACGTCATGTGACATCGCGAGTTTGACATGTCTGCTATAGATACATGTCAGGTGGATCAATGTCTCATTTACTCTTAGCATACACTTGACATCATCAATATACAGGAGGTGGCTAATGGTAGTTCCACTCTTGAACTGATACTAATACTCATGGTATCCAGTCCTTGTGATAATCCAGCTGAGGAAGTTTAAACATATGCAGAGGAGCAGTGGGGACAGAGCATTACTTTGTTATATGCCTCACTTAATAGCCATTTATGTGAGCTGCCAGTGTTGTCTCGAAGTCCTGTTGACTTTGGATAGTGCCAGGCATCCACAGATCCATCTCTTTGCCCTTGAGTTTGCCCCCAGGTTTTAGGCTGTCCTGTAGTCAATCCAGGTTGTGCTCAGGTTGGTCTGTCTAGATCTTGAGGATGGCTCTTTTTATCTATTAGCATCTGGTGTTTTGAGCCTCTGGTGTTGTTCCAAATGCCTTTCTGAGCTGTGCTTATGTAGTGACCCATATGGTCCTGTAGCTTGATGGCTACAATACCTGATAGGAATTTCCATGTTTTGGGGAGACAGGTTAATGGTCAAAAGTTGGACAGTGCTGTTCCTTTGTGGGGGTCTTTGATGATCAGCAATATCCTTCCTTGTATTAGTCAGTCTGGGTGGGAGCCTGGTGCTAGCAGCTGGTTCATCTGTCCTTCTAGGCATCAATGCAATGTTGTTAGCAGTAGGTATAGATCATGTCTGGGTCAGGTGCTGTGTAGCGTGTCACGTTCTTGACTTACTGTTGGCTATCTGCTACTGTGGTGGTAACTGGTTCCTGTTTTGGGAAATCGTATGGTCTGCTTTCAAGTCTTGCAGTCACCTAGTGCTACCAGTATGTGTTTTCTCTTTCTCCCCTATGTTCTTCCAGTGCTGCTGTTTCTGTGTTGCACTGCAGTTAGGTGTACACCATGGGTGGCTGTTTAGGAAACAGGGCATTTATCTTCTTGACATCTGCTTCTCTAGTATTCTCCTTAGGCTGGTACACAGGCTGTGAACCTTTGTATAGAAGTGACTCCACTTGTATTTTTTCAGTACCCAAGTCTTATTCTTTTTCTCCTTATTATTTTCAACCTGAGGTTTCCACTTATCTCCCCATCTCTCTCTCTCTCTCACACACACACAGACACACACACACATCCATCCATCCAGTTCAGATTTCCTGTTTCTGACACCACAATCTGTAAAATATGATTTACAGTTATATAAAACTGGGGGGTTTTAATGTTAAAGTACTGGAGACAGATTGCAATACAATCAAATTATATGCTTTTAAAAAGCAAATCTAAAGGAACACTAGGAAGACATGGGAAGGATGAAATTATGTTATACAACACAATCTAATCTATATGGATGCAGAGATGCTGCTATCTTGGACTGAATAAAGATACAGCTGCCAATCCAGTAAACTTCTATATAGAAACAGGAAGTATTCCAATTATTTTAGTCACGTCATATTTACTTATGTAGCAACAAGATTTAGTTGCATCTTCTCTGATACAGCAATTCTCTTTCATTCTTGTTCACTGAGATCTGACTGGAATCTTCTACTGATTTGAATGTAATCTCATTCCCAAACCTTCTAAGATCTGCAGATCAAACTATTTGTGGTACTTGTTACAAATCCAGTTAAAAGTAACATTCTTGTACTTCTATTTCAATAAAATCAGTTTGATTTTTAAAAATGTGATCTAGACATGTTGTAAAAGCACAGAAGATTAGGCTGAATGCGTAATGCTAAAATTAGAAGTGGTGGCTGAAATAATGCTTTAGATGCAGTTTTAGTAGCTTCATATTTTTTATTACATTGAATACTATTTAACTTTCCTTTCAAATGCCAAAATTTTCTTTATGGTTTTTAGATATGTAGATTTTTCAACATATAAAACATGCAATAATTAACTACTCAACTACTTTGCTTTTAAAATAAATTTATTATGTGTATCAAAAGTGTATGTTGTACATGTGTGTGTTTACAATAGCAGCATAAAGAATGGTACTGTATACTTGAATATAAAAACACATATAACTCTCCAAACCATTTTCCTATTCAAATTGTACTATTTTATTTTGCCATCATAGGATTCCCAAATAAATGTTAAACTTGGTAAAAACTAGAAACAAAGGGGGGGGGGTGTTTGGGTCAACTAAACAGTGAGTAATGTTTAAACCCCATTACTCCCATTGCCAATCCAACACTTAAAATTACATCTTCTTATGCCTTGCAAGTTAAAATGACTCATGTGGTTTTTTCCCACTGGCTCTGTTTACAATATGTATTTCATTTTCATATTGTTGGTAAAACTATAAATCAGCAAAAAAAAAGCTGTACTTTAAATTGCTCTATTGCTCAGCTTTGGCACGCAGTACTTAACTTTGTTAAGTAAAACAAAATATATCCGTCATAAATCAATGTGCCACTAGGTGGCGGTACAACATTTCTTTGTGGTAAGTTTTTATTCTTTTATGCAGATGTTTAAAAAAGGGTTTGAAGAAACTACATATTTATGGACTTGGAAAATGACCTACAGTTTTCTCAAACTTTATAATTTTGTAAACACATGCAAACAGTTGTTCGCCAACTGTGCATCTTTCTCTTTAAGGCATGCTTCCTAATCGATTTATTTATCCAGTCATTTATTTGCATCTTTCTCTTCCTCAAGCAGAATAGAGAAGAGAACACCGCCTTTGATTAAATGGGTCAAATCTCAAGCAAATATAATGCAGCATAAACGAAATAGCATTTTAGTGGTTTTAGATTTAAGAAGCTTAACAGATTTTCTCTCTCTGTCCCCCCTCAAGTACTCTTCTGTTTAGGGAAGTAGGGGAAAAGACCAAAGCCACGCTTTTAAGTTGAAGAGAAAGTAACATGAGAAATGAATTATTTCTTGATGAAATATCACATATTTCCATTACTGTAATTAAAAGCTGTTCTGTTACTAAAAAGATTCATAAGAATTAAAATTTGGATGAGTACCATGTCAAAAAATTCCAAAGTCAAACACAGTATGCTTATAGCAACTGGGGGGCTCAAAAGCAGGGGAAATATTGAAAAAAGTGGCCTCTTCAAAATCTGTCAGTAAAAAAAGAGTTAAGAACAGACTAGAAAAAAGTTTTTTTTATTTAAAAGTGTACATGTCATAACAACCGACTTTATACACTGACTGGCACTTTTATCCGTTCTGGCCTGTATAGTAAAGGAAGTAAAGGAAGAAGCAAAGGCAACAGAGAGAGGGCAGACCAAGTTGAGATTGCTTCTCCCATGGTTGCTTCTCCCTTTGGCAAGCCTGGATAATGCGTCAAAGTTGATTGAGTAGAACAGTCCAAAACCCCATAGCCAAATTGGATGGCTTCCCCTGCTAGCAACTTTCAAGTGACTCATATGGTTCTTTTAACTGTAACAGTTTTCACTTGCCATCTCCATTGTTTTGACATAAAAGCAAGAGAACCCGCTGTCTTCCAAGTTACATCTCTGGCCCAGTCTTTGAAAGATGCCTCTACCACTGTAGCCTTTTGCTGGCTGTGGGCGTTTTCATTTCAATGCCTCTCAGTGAGATGAGTTGGCTGTGCGATCTCTGTTCCCCAACACAAGCATGTTCTTTTAGCTGGACTACATGCAGCAGAAACTGGTCACACGTAAGGAGTTCAAGTTCAGCTGCTAATATAAAATGGTGCCTGTACTGTAAAAATAAAAATAAAAAATAAAACAAAAGGCACAAAGGCCACGACGTTAAGTAAATGTAAACATCATACAAAATGATGCTTGAAGCAGGTCTTGTTGTAGTGTGGAGCTACTCTGGATCAGCAGCTTTCTCTTGCACATTGTACTGCTTGTTCCTGGTCAACTTCCAGCTGATGAAAGATAATAGCAGAATGCCAATAATTTTGTAGCCAACCTGGAGGCCTAAGTACCTGGAGAGAGAAAAAGAGAGATAGAAAAAGAGAGAGAGAGAGAGAGAGAGAGAGAGAGAGAGAGAGAGAGAGAGAGAGAGAGAGAGAGAGAGAGAGAGAGAGAGAGAGAGAGAGAGAGAGAGAGAGAGAGAGAAGATAATTTCTTTTGAAATAAAACTCATCACATTTGTAGGGATGCAATAAAAAAACACTTAGCTGAATGACTTAGAAAAAAAAAGAAGTGATTTGCAAAACATGTTCAAAGTAAACAATGCTGAATTTGAACTCTAAGCAGTTGCCCGCGTGCAAAGCAAATGTTTCACTGCTGAAACTGGCTATTGCAGGGTAGGCAACCTTGGCTCTTTTATGACTCGTGGACTTCAACTCCCAGAATTCCTGAGCCAGCCATGCTGGCTCAGGAATTCTGGGAGTTGAAGTCCACGAGTCATAAAAGAGCCAAGGTTGCCTACCCCTGGGCTATTGCAATCATTTTTAACTGTTTTAAAATGCTCTGTTTTAAGCTCCGAACACTTCCGAAATGATTAAAGTCAGGTCTGGATGCAAAAATGTGAACTTTAGAAATCTTTAGATTTCTATGAAAATGGAAATTCCAGATCTGGATGTGAGTTTTGATAGTGAGAACAATTAATCCAGTGAAATGGATTAATGTCTCCAGAAAACTCCATCACTGGACGTTTTCAAGAAGAGACTGGACAACCATTTGTCTTGAATAGTACCCCTTGTTCGAGTAGGGGGTTGGACTGGAAGACCTCCAAGGTCCCTTTCTGTTAATCTATGTCAGGGGTAGGCAACCTTGGCTCTTTTATGACTCGTGGACTTCAACTCCCAGAATTCCTGAGCCAGCTGTGCTGGCTCAGGAATTCTGGGAGTTGAAATCCACGAGTCATAAAAGAGCCAAGGTTGCCTACCCCTAGTCTATGTGATTCTATGTTGTCAAGAAAAGAAAGCAGCACGGGAAGAAACTCCTCTGTTAGGGACAAAAAATAGTTTCCCTCCTATAGGTGTCCCAAAACTGTTATATTATTTCTTTTGGAGAATTAACAAAGTGAGATAAGTACAGTAGTAATTTTTCAATCATTTTATGAAGTGGAATGTTACAAGTGGCTGGCATTACAGTAATAAGTCTTCTGGGATCAATTATCCCGAACTTCTAGATAATTACTAGTCATGTGGTTTTTCAAAAGAAAAAAAAATGAGGTTATAAGATAACAGCAATATTATACAGGTGATTCATAATTACTTAATGAAGCAGTTCGTATCATGGCAGATTGTGTGATTCAGTGTGCTAAAATGTTTTCTGCTGTCTGGAGATCATAAGATGTGCAAGCCAAGTTAATGATTTATTAGTATAAAGGCAGGAATATGCTTGCCTCAGATTGGTTTCCATTTTATTTTCATTTTAAGACAAAATTCCTTCCTTCCTGAATTCATATTGCAATCTTCCCAGCCACCAATGATATGGCTCTCCAACTTCCATTATGTACAAATTGGTAACGCTACATGTGCTGGAACTGCAAGCCATAGATTTCTGACAGTTTATGTCCCATCTGGAGGCAGCAGGTTGGAGAGGTCTTCTACAGATGGCTCTGACTCAAGGGTCTGCATCCTGAGTAGCTGTGGAACTATTACTATTTGTTCCCCATTCAGTTAGCCCCAGTTAACTGCTCTGCTCTAGGAAGGGAAGACATTTCCACCTCATAGTTGTTCCTTGGGAGGAGGAATGAAAGAACAAACTGAAAATAAAGGATATGTACTCTATGGATGCTTAATTCACTTCCATGGTTGGAATGTTAGGAAATATCTGAGATTCCTTGTGAGGTGAATCTCCTGAGGTATCAACAGAACAGTCACTGGAGAATGTGGTAAGAGATGCCAAAGGGCCACTGCAAAGACTTCCTTTGTTGCTGATTAAAGTCTCAAAACTTTATTAATTTTGGGGTTGCTGGAGCCTTGATTGGTGGGAGGGAAGGAAAGCTCAACCCATTTGCATCCCAAGGAGGAAACTGCTAATGCACTGACAGCCAAGTTTGTTTTCTTAACTTTACCTAGCCAGAGGCAAGGGCAGAAAGGGTATATGTTCCTGTTCTTGAGATGGACTTCATGGAACATTACTGGGGATTTCCTGGCAAGATGCATTCCATTTTTTTCTGATCTATTTATGTTAGTCAAACTCTCTGTTGAAGTTGATGAGGGTAGGAAGCCTGAGGATCAAGGGGAGGAAGCCCTTGTCCTCAAATTAAATCATTGGGAATCTACTTTCCCAACTTCCTTAAAGGGCCTGTCCTGGAAATAATTGCTCAGTGATGAATAGCCACAGCTAGTTCACCTTCATAATGCACAGAACTTTCCTATAGCATTCAATACACGAACATTTCCACAAAAAGCCAATGTATTTCAAAATCGGGGTGTGTGTGTGTGAAAGGGCGGAACGGGTGGTCTTCTCTCATTTTATTCAATAATCCTGCAAGACATTTTGAGCTCAGAGCAACTGACTGGCGAAAATCATCCAGTATACTCTAACTTCAAGTAGGAATATGAATGTGGTCTTCCTAGACCCAGTAAAATACACTACACTGGCAGTTCATATATTTTCCCTGAAGCCCTGTAACCCATGTGCTTAAAAGTTAAATGAAAAGGATGGTACCTCTGAGAAGACACCAGTCTTTTTGCATTAAGATGGGGGTCCTCTCTGAAGAGTGATATAAGGTGCTTTAAGAAGAGGCATATGGCAAAAGTTCTGAGACAAAGGGGATGGGGAATTCCTGGGAATTTACATCCTCCTCAAAACCCAAGTCAAAACAAGTCTTCTCAAATGATTGTGTGTGTGTGTGTGTAAAAATCCCAAGTGGTTGTAAAGGAATGCCAAGACATTCACACTTTAGGCTTCAGGAGCATAAATAATTCTGTCTCCCATAAAATATTACACTTTTTAAGCTGATTAAACAACAACAGCCTTCAGACTCAGCCAATTCAGATGCTTAGATAGAGCAGCAATCAAAGCCCAGGGGGCCTAAACACGAGAAAGAAGAGCCAAGAAGATTCAGGCATCAACTACCTTTGTTCATACATAGTCAGATGCAGAAATAACTGCATCAAAGCCTTTTAAGAGACAAGCAGAACAAAGCCACATTATGAACAGGTTTTCCTGCTATTGCTTTAAGCTTTGTAATTATTAATTTTCGTCTAGTTTACACAGCTTAAAAGTGATTTTAGTGCAGCAGACTTGCACCCTGATTGCTAAGCACAATACAGAAAATATTGGGCAAATTACCAAGTTAGATTATGCTGCAGATAATAATAATTTATTAATGACATCAGCATTTTTGGAGGGCCCAGTAAATACTGGCATGATTTATGGAAGGCAAGCAGTCCATCAGTTCTATCTATCTACCACAGATAAGAAAAGCCCTTGTCTAATTCACACAGAGAGAACTATCACTGTTCCCATCTCTTACCTGCTGCGGAAGAAGCTGTTGTTATAATAATGGCAGGCTCCACTCTTACTATTGCAGGCTTTCTTCCACCATGTGCAGGAAGAGTCAATGAGGATGCCAAAGAGGGTAGGAGCTGGCAACCAGGCTTGGAAAGAAGGAAAGAAAGAAAAACCCACTAGTTGCCAATCCTTAAGTCATTTCCCCTTTTCTTTGTGTAGGAATCAGTGCTCAGTCATTGCAGGGTGCAAATATGGCTGATCGCTTTCGCAGTGTTTATTGCCTTACATACAGGTATTCAAATAGCATAAAGTAAGATGGCATCAGCATAGTAACAGCATTTCTATTGGTGAAACCCCTTGCCAATCATTAAGAAGATATCAGCTAAGAGGCCCCAGACAGGGAGCAGTTTTCTACCACATCCTGTTGATGTAACCTAGATGATATCATGTACCAGCCTGGGGTAGTTTCCCACATTGCCATGGTGATGTGAATGGATGAGATCATGTAGAGAGAAGAGGCACGCAGGCGTTGGAAGGGCAGTTTGCTGCTCACGACCTCTACCTGGCCCCTATCTCTACACTTTGCTATGCTCAATATAAAACCTTAAAATAATATTACCTTATATTACCGACACCCTTTGCATGTATACTCAGAAGTAAATCCCTATTATGTTCGATGTGGGTTATTGCTTTATAAATAACTTTAGGTTTGCAGACTTGGGCTGATACTCACCCAGTAATCTCATCAATAGGAACTGGATTCCAATAGCAAAAGACTTTTCATCATAGGACACCACTCTGTTTAGAATCAAAATACAGTAAAGTATATCAGAAAGCCAGATAGGGGGAGCAAGGATTTGGTCCTGCTCTCTGAAAAACTAAAAAGATTGATGATGATTATGAATGGTTGTGGAACAGCCATAGCAAATTAGTTATCTATTTATTTAGCATATGGCATATCACACATGATTTAGCAATATATATTAACATTTCACCTAGATTAATAAAATACTGTAAAATATAAATGTTAAAAAGATCTATGTTCAAATACCAGTATCTAGGCCAGTGATGGCGAACCTTTTAGAGACCGAGTGCCCAAACTGCAACCCAAAACCCACTTATGTATCGTCAGGTGCCGGGTGGGTGTGGCCCATCGGGTGGGCATGGCTCATCGGGTGGACGTGGCTGTGGTGGTAACGAGTGGGACTAAAACATTCAATCAATTCCAACTTTGTGAGATCTTTTTTTTTTCCCGCGGGAAGTTGAAATTGATCGACTGAACCGGGGTTTTTTGCACACGGCGGCGGAGGCCTAAAGCGAAAAGGTTTTATAAAACCCAGCTGAAGGCCTAGGATTGGGGCGACGGTGCACGTGCCCACAGAGAGGGCTCTGCATGCCACCTATGGCACGCGTGCCATAGATTCGCCACCACAGATCTAGGCCATCCAACCACTGAAGCGCAGCATCATTTATTTTTTAAAAAATCAGATACTGGACTGATATATGCCCTCAGCTTACAGTGATTTGATCTACAGCAGGGGTCCCCAACCCCTGGTCTGTGGACCAGTATCGGATCACATGCATGCCAAACAAAGCCCCATCCGTGAGATGTAGGCAGCACACAAAATCACGCACCCTCTGGTCCATGGAAAAACTTCTCTCCACCGAACCGGTCCCTGCTGCCCCAAAGGTTGGGGACCTGTGATCTACAGTTTGATGTAGAACCCTGCAATTACCACCAAGGGAAGGATACAATGCCCCATTTATACGGTGGGTCCCAGCAGATGCTGTGTGGGGTGTGAATCCTATTGGGGTTTTTCTATGGCTGACATGGTAGTTCAAAACCTGGCACTTGTTTTTGTAGGGTCATTCATATGTCTGGGCATTCAGCAACCCATTTGGCTTTAGTTATTTAATTATTTTACATAAAAAAGTGTTAAACTTGAAAAGAGCCTATAAAAATATAAAAAAAAACATTTCTGGTGATAGTACTTCATAAATTCTATACTTTGTACAATAAGACCAGGTGAAACCTATTTTTTTTTACTTTTAGAAGGTGCCTGGCTGCCCTGCTAATGGTCAGACTTCAATTTCAGAGTACTCAGCAATAGTTATACTGGCTCAGGAATTTTGGAAGTTGATTCAAATGTCAGTAGAGCACCTAGACTGGGAAAAGCTGTATGAAAATATATCAAGGTTTTAGGGTTTCTTTTATTTTACTCCATATTGCTATGTTACAGTTGGCATTTGTATGTATTACAAATTACAGATGTATTGCATGGGACTATCTACTAAGGCCCTAGCCCCTTCTTACCGTAACACCATCATGTAGAGAGGGTTGTGAGAAAGGCAGGCAATCAATGCAGAAAATGAAATGACGAATATAACAGGCAACAACAGATGGGCACAGCTAACAGGGCAAGATCCAGTCTTTGCTGAAGATTGTCCATTCTTGGTGGAGATACAGGAGCAATTTGTATAGATCTTGTTGAAAGAAAAGAAGGGAAATCAATCTCAGGAAATCAATTCACTTCAAGGTTGGACCATAGCTTAATGGTAAAGCATCAGAATCATAAGTACCCAGGTTCAATCCCTGGCCTTTCTAGTTTAAAGTACATGTGTTAAGAAAACCTCTGTTCTAAATGCCCAACTGGTCAGAATATACAACACTGAATAAACAAATAGTTTGATACAATATAAATCAGCTCCCACTGGTTCATGGCTTAATTACTTCATGGCCAATTCACTGTTTGGCTGCTGAAAATTGTGGTTATATGTTTGAGGGGAAAAGGGCAGTGTGGAATTTGGTTGTAATACTACTCTAGTGTTATAGACATTGTATGCACATTTAAAATTATATATTGAGATTACATTGTGTGATCCATTATTCTGAAAGTTTAGAGCAGGAATTAACAAATACAAATACCCAAATAGATAAATAAATGAAAAAGTACAGGGCTGATACTGCATCTTAAACAATTAGCTTTGACCACAAAAAGCAATTTTAAAAGTAAAATACAGCTTCTAAAGCTAACTTAGATTTTGGCTTCTGCACTTCTTGAAGTACACGGGAAAGCCCAATAATAAACAGCAGACGTTATAAGAAAGCTGTTTAGCACACCAATATACAATCTGTGGTCTCAGCCCTGTAAAATGGTAAAAGTTTCCCTGTCAATCATGTCTGACTCTAGGGCAAGGTGATCATCTCCGTTTCTTGGCCAAAGGAGCCAGCATTGTCCAAAGACAATTTCCATGGTCATGTGGCCACCATGGCTATATGCCAAAGGAGCACCGGAACACTATTACCTTCCGACTGACGTGGAACCTATTAATCTTCTTGAATTTGCATGCTTTTGAATTCTAAAAATTATTATATACTGTAATTTTTATTATGAGAAGGGGAAGTGATTAGATACATGGACAATAAACATATTTACAATATTAATTTACTGATCTGATGCTAAATTTTAATTTAAAGAACAAAATGAACTTTGTTCCAGCCTGATCCATTTTTAAGTGGAGCGTGCCTTCTCACCATACTTCTCAAAGTTTAGATGTATCTCCTAGCCCGAAAAAAATTGTGTACTTCTGTTTCAGAGTGATTATGGAGTGTGATGAGATATTAAAGAAATGGATCCTTTTTAAATAAATAGAACAGGACTCATATTAAACCTGACAAAAAATTATCTAAATTATTTAAATTAAGAAAGTTTTTACAGGGGTGTTTTAAAAAATTTTTAGGGGGACCCAGGGTGGATGGGAGGGGGGAGGTTCCCCTTAGGTCAGGACCAGCCATGTCTGGGGGTTGCGAGGGAGAAAGGGTGGGGGGAGAGGGTGGGGGATTGAAGGAGGAGGAGGGAATCAGTACGGTCAGTG